CTGGTTTAAACAGACGGCGTGAGACCGTAATGACCCCGACGCCGTGTAATCAAAAACTGAATGCAATGATTTGGAACCAGCAAACCCTTCGATTATTCACAATACAACACAGAAAACATGTCAACTGTTTAAACTGAGAGAAAAAGCTTGCAACTAATTAAGTTAACTGACAACAGGTAAGCAGCACGATTGGGTGTAAAAGGCGCGTCTTGGGGAGGCGGAGTTTCTTAAAACTAAAGATGGACAGAGGTTCACCAGTCTCCAAAAAAACTGGACTCTGCATGCTGAAGTACTTCATCTTGAGAAATTTCTGGCGCAGAAAGCAAGGCTGAAAATCAATATTGGATGCCCGTGATCTTTGGACTGTCAGGCGGCACTGCATTTAAGACAGTCATGATTCTGTCATGGAAATCCGTGCATGGGCTCAGGAACACTTCCAGGAATCACGGTCTGTGAACACAGCCTGTTCTCTGTGCCATTCAAACAACAAATGCAGGTTAAAGCTGCAAAGAAGAAACCACACGTGAACATGATCCAGAAATGCTGCCACCATCTTTTCTGGGGCAAAGGTCATTTAGATTGAACTGAGACAAAGTGGAAAACTGTTCTGTGGTCAGACAACTTGAATTTTGTCCTGCTATGGAGGCGAGAGACCATGCAGCTCAGTTCAAAGCCTGCATCTCTGATGGTATGGAGGTGGATTAGGCAGGAGTCTTCGCTCTCCCATCCAAATCGTTGAACTCGGGTGTTTCAAACACTTCATTGGCCACAGGTGTATAAAATCAAGCTTGATTCGCTTGATTTACCAATCTGTCATGCTCTACTTTACTGAGCTTTACTACTTATTTATTGTGTTACTTGTTGTGTTTTTGCAGAACTGGGATTTCCCAACTTTTAGGATAACTAAAGTCAGTCTGATGTGCTAAGCGAGTTTGGTTTTTGTACCCCAGGTTTGAAGGCGGGCAGTCCCAGTCCGACCCCGATCGTGGCCTTGTTGGGATTAACCACGGAGTTGTAGTGGATGTTGCGGTGGTAGCTCACTCTGATTGGTTCGTCGTGGTTCTGATGGATGCCGTGGAACGTGTTGATTGGTTCTGGAGGAAGAGGAGGAGGAGGTTGTTAGATGGATGCGACTGGCTGACGGCGATGAAGGTTGTTTCTCGACTCACCTGTGCTGTACTGGTAAACCTCCACTGGCCTGTTGTACATCTCCGCCATGGCCTGCATCTCGATGTGGTTGCCATGGCAGTTGTTTTTCCTCTTCCTGTTGATGTATGTGGTGAAGTCCTCTGTCACGTAGTTGGAGAAATAATCTGCGTTCTTCATCTGAACGCCAAAAGCAAAAACTTTATAAACACAGACTCGAACTATAAGAGTAACACAGGAGGAGGAAAAAAGGACGCGTCTACTCACCAGGTAGTCCATACAGTGTTTCCGCACCACTTCATGCATGTCCTGGTCTCCATACACCTGATCAGCTGAGACACAGACACACAGGAAGAGTCAATTCATTTGGGATTCAGTATAAATGCTGGTAATTTGCCAGAACATTAAACAGATTTAAGAGGTTTTTATCAATGCCACTCAGAATTAAACTAATTCACAACAACCAAGAATACTGAAAAATACGAATACATTAGGGGCGCGTCGCTGTTCGCATCCAGCAAACGAATTTCTCTGTCTTGATTTCAGTCAGTTTGAAATGCCTGCATACATGTGCAGGGTCAGTTTAACAATGATGGCTGATTTTCTCCATCTCACTGCCGGCCAGCAGACATGCTAACGACACGAGCATCCAGGCTACCAACGGATTCAGCACTTTTAAGACTTCTGAATGACTGAAGACATTTTTACTCCAATAAAAAAAATTAACTGTCCTGTTGCTGTGAATCACTAGAGACCTGTCGCTGTGACAGCTCCAGCATTTAAGAAAACTGATATTTGGATGAATTCTAAAGACTTTTAAGATTTTTCCAGGATGTGCAGGAATACTGTAGGTGATTTCCACGAGGAAGCAGATTTAATTTTCCACTAGTCACTTGAGGCTAGTGAGGTCACTTTGTGATCCTTTGACGTCGCTCGTTAGCACTGGACTCGCTCAGAACAGTGAGCTTGGTTTAAGCGATCCTGAGAGAGGTTAGTTTTAATGAGAGCATCATGCACTGTTGCAGTCTGCTAATTGGAGTATGGACCCTGTTTTGTCTTTTTAAGACTACGCAAAGCTTTGTCTCTTCTTTTCAGTCCTCATTCTCGGCCTCTGCAGCTTTTTAAAAAAAACTGTTTTAATTCATGTGCATGCATGATTGCATGCATTCATGTACGCAAAGTTTTTAAAGAATCCCTCTCGGGCCGCCTAATATTTCAGTGTGGAAAGTTTTACTGGAAGTTTCTGCTTGACGTTGACAACTTTGCAAATGGCAGTGGATGCACAAAGGTCACGTCAACCTATGAGAACGGCTGTGTTCTGGTTTGGTTTTGGCTTGTGGTGCAGCTCTCGATTCTTTTTAAACTTTGAGCAGGTCAGTGTTACCGGCATTTAGTCAATACATCACTGCAGGAGGTCAGAGATTCCTGAATCGCACAGAGACGGAGACTGCAGCAGAAAACTTTGAAAATGCCTCTATGATCACTCTGTCTCCTCTTTCAGCTCATGCTCTAGATTATGACAACTATCCTGTAGGACATGGCTCCAAAATAGTGCGTTTTAAGCCAAGTTCAGGTGCGCTTCGTGATTTTTGTGTTCACCAAATATTACTACTCTAGCTGCAGAAAAAGACATTTCAATTTACTGTAAAAGTTACATTTTATAGCCTCATACTATTGATGTAAGGAGCCTGAGCGCGTCATTGGCTGGAAAGACTTAAGACACCATCTTGGTGTTAGTTAAGAGACAGTTGGAAACCAAACATCCCTTCTGATAAAACCCTTGTCTGCTGTACAAGAGCACTGATCTATGATTTATAAGCTAGTGAGGATTACTGCAAAGTAGAACAATTGCAGGCATCACGCTCAAAAGTGGTTTCATCTGACAATTCAAAATAATAATAATAATAATAATAATTCAGGAATGCTTGTAATCGGAGGACATAAACACTGTTTTGTGCATATATGACAACATGTGTGCCTTAAAATTTTGATTTGACCTTTTGTGTGGAAAGGGAACAAAAAGCTAAGGAGGACTGGCGAGTCCAGGGTGGCCTGAGCGCCCGCCATTATGGTTGCACAACTGTGCATGCAAGCAAGGGACCAATGTTGCAGCCATAATTGCAGCATTAGTGTCCCCTGCACTGCCTGCACTGCCCTTTGCAGCTGGTCCTGAGTCTGCACAGAAGCAATGCACTTTCTGCACTGGTCAAAAAAAAGCAAAAAACACTTTCAGTGCTGCAAGGATGTGACAAAACTTATGCTGCTGACAACTGATGCATAATATTTAGTCTGTGAAGCCCGACTTCAAAGCCAAGTGTTGGATTAAAAAAACAACAACCTAAAAACACTAAAAACAAATTAAAACAATATTAATTGATCAATCTGTCGCTCATTTCCCTTTGATTTCACATGTAGATTATTTTCACTGTTTATTAGCCAGTTTTTGCGTTACATGTCAAAAAAATAGAGAAGCAGAAAAAAAGTCAACAAACAAAAATAATGTCACACAAACACACTTCCTGTCTGAGATGGCGGTGGGATGTAAATGAGCCCCATTTCGGTTCAGTTTACAGAAAGTCACATGATCTGTCACCGCAGTAATTCTCAGAACCCCCCCGATGACTTCCTTTTTCTCACTAGCGGTTTGCTTCGTGTTTTTGTGCATAAACATGGCGGTATGACTGCAAAGTGACACACTCATAACACATCTGACACACACACGGCTGAGCAGCAGCAGCAGGTGTGTGTGTGTGTTTGTATATATATATATATCTCAGAAACATTCAAGAGGGAATCTCCCAGTAATCTCCCACTCAGAGCAGTGGCATGCACCCCGGTGCAGGATCTGGAGCGCAGCGAGGTTAACCCGCGGGTTAGTCACACATGCACAAAAACCACAGTTTACTGACCAACAAGTTCTCAGAAAAATGGTGTAAAAGAAGGGCAGCTTCTTTTTTTTTGCAGATAGCCACACTGACTCATGCTGGGATTAAATGACTTTTAATGTGATTGTATTGATGCAGACACGTGTTTAATGCTGCAATAAAATTTAGCAAAACTTCAGTTTTGCTAAAGTTGTGACAGTTTGGTACAAATGACAGTGCAAACTCCAAAAACTCCGTCAGTTTGTCTAATTTCAGGCTTTTTTGATAGAATGAACATGTTTGATATCATTACACCTTTTCTTCATTGCAGCTCATCCAAAAAGACACAACTTTGACTGGCAGAGTTTGCAAAAGATCTCGTGAACTTTCACACCACTGTTGTCTTCGTCCATCTTTGCACGTTTCTTCAGACTATTTTATTGCTAAGCATCAAGGTGCATTAAACTGCATCCCTTTCACTGCAGGATCCCCAGGATCTGTTGGTCACTGGGTCAGTATTGGCCCTTGGACCACGTTTTGCCCACGTGAAGCCTTGGAAGCCAAGTTTGGCTTGGGCAGCGAGATGGTTTGTGCAGGTTCAGTGTTTTTCAGCAGCAACAGGTGCATCTGAGAGTTTGTTGAACAAAGGCATGACGCAAGAAAAGCAGACAGGAGACAAGCACAAAAGACAGAAAACCAGGAGAGGAAGGGACACATGCAACAAGGAGAAGAGAAGGCTACAAGAGGAGAAGGGAAACATAGGAGGAGACAAACAGGAGACGATAGAAGACACAAGGAAATAAGGCAGAAAAACAAAACAGAAGAGGAAACCAAAGCTAGGAGAGGAGATGCGAGACAAGGAGATGAGGCAGGACACAAGGAAATGAGGTAGGAGACATGAGCGGAGACAAGATGCAGAGGAAAAGGAAACAAAAGGGCGAATTTGAGTTGGTTGCTGAGAAATACCACACACACCACGACAGATAGACTTCTGCAGAATTAATAATAAACCACATGCACACACACTCACACCCACACACAAACACGCACACATAAACCACAGCGAGCGTTGTGATTGGTCAGCTTGGACAGCTTTCTCAGAAAGAGGTGGGCCCTCACAGAACCGTGTCCGTCTTGTTTGTTACACCACTGCTGTCGATAAGTTTTTATCTGAAACTCGCAGTTTGACTCCACCCTGACCGCCAACACCAGCAAAGGCTTCTGGGTACTGAAGTTCAGAAGCAAGCTTTAAATTACCAGCAGCTGGACACTAACATGGACAGAAGGGATGTAGATCCTCCTGCTGCTGATTAGATCTCATTATTATTAGTATTTGTTCATAGTGATCAATAAAAACAAGTTATTATTGATTAGAAATATCAGACATTGAAAATATTAGCAGAACCAACATTCTTGGTAGCAGTATTCATATCTTGGTAATCAAGCTTCCAGCTGTCCAATCAGAGAGCAGAGTGACGTCACCATCTCTTCTGCAGAACTTTATCAGCTCCGAAGCTCCGCCCCTGTTTTACACATTCGGAAGCGGGCCGCGGACCACAGAGGCGCCACAGTGACGTGACGTGTGGGCCGCTGGGCCTCACGTCCTTCCTCCTTCTGCAGAATTAAGCTCACTGTCAAGCAGGAACCTCAACTTCCAGTCAGAGGTCAGCTTTAATAACATCAGGCGACCTCAAACAGAGAAGTGCGGCGACTTTGTTAGGTCCTTTAATATGTTCAAAACCTGAAGGTAAACTTACGAGTGGTTCAGATCAGCTGCAGTTAACTGACCCCAAAAACTTTTTTGTGTTTGCGAGCTGGCGCTCCACGACCTCGCTCCACAACGTCCACCTCCCTGCAGCTGTTTATCCAGCTGTTTCAACCCTCAGAGCTGTGAATCCAATCAAAATGTCAAATTCTGACACATTTTTATCTATAATTGTCTGACTAGTTTTCATATTCTTCATACGATTTGTTTTATAGTTTTCTTCTGTTTTTGAAGTATTTCTTACTATGTTTCAAAAACGCCTTCATTCTTCACTTGCAGCCTGACCTTTCTTTGATTCTGCAGAAGTTTAACTGTGTTGTTTCTTTAGACACTGAGTCACTTATTTACTCGTAAATAATGCAACATGAACTCAGAGATTCACAAGGAGATTGCAGAGAATTCAAGGGGAAAGTTAAGAGGGAATTTCCTCACAGCTCAGTGTAGGTGTCTGCATTTGTGTGTCTGTATTTGTGTGTGTCTGTGCACTGACTCTGGGTCGGTTTTGAGTGACCAGCTCCAGCCGACCTGACACTTTGACAAGTTTAAAAGACTAAAAGACTTGTTTGTCGAGCTGAGGTGACCGTGACCTGAGCACGCGCTTTAACAACTCACACAGCACACACACACACACACACACACACACACACACACAACACACACACACACACACACACACACACACACACACACACACACACACACACACACACACTGTTTGAGTTTTGATCTTAAATCTGCAGCATTGTCTATTTGACTCTTGTGTCAGTGAAATTGAGATGGAAACCTTAAAATCAGACTGAACTTTGTGAGTGAAACATGAGGAAACATTCCTGCAACTTTTCCACTTTTCTATCAGGATGCTGCACAGATGAAGAATGCTCTATTTCAAAATAAAAGCTGTGTCTTTTGAAACTCGGCGGTTTCAGTGGTAAGGCTAAACTTTTAATCTGGAGAGAAACGTTCTCCATTTTCGGTTTGTGTCATACTCTTTGCAGTTTCATTGCCACTCAGCGAGTAGTTGGCAAGCGCTTGAGGACAAGTCAGCTTCTTCCACGCAAACCACAGGGCATCACGGCATCCTGCTGCAGCCCCAAAGCAATCGCAAGGAGGTTATTGGTGCAACAATGTCTTTGCACCAATTTCAACCTGCAGAAACCACAGAAAACACATTTTCCCTTTCCTATGGTTAGTTGACCACCTGGCAACCATCCTGCAGTGGCTGGCTGATGGTCACTGACCAGTCCTAAGTCAGTGTAAGTAGCAGAAATGATGAGGATGATGATGCAGCAGCAGCCGTTCTTCTCTGCGTGAGTAGCTTAATGTTGTTCGTGTGTAATTTACGTTGAGTAGGCTAACCACGTTATTACATTAATGCATGTAAGGTGAACTAGCAAACATCATCATAGCTACATGCGGCTGTCTTCTTGTTTGATGGCAGATACTCCCTTCACCCTGGCCAAAAAGGCTAAAATGACCAAAGAAAAAGTGGAAAACAGTTAAACATGAGAGGTTTTTGGACAAAGTTTGTGTTTTTTCCATTGTTTAAGCACTGCTTCCAGCCAAGAGTGATACCATATATGCCCCATAGCTGCAGAAAAGGCTAACATTGTTATCTTTTTACAAAAAACAGCTGAACATGAGAGGTTTTTGGACCAATTTTGTGTTCTCCATTCTTTAAGCACCGGCACCGTTTCAAAAGTACCGGTTTGGCACTGGTATCGGATAAAACCTAAACGATACCCATCCCTAGTGATGAGCCTCTAAACATTAAACATAAATAAGTGAAAGTATGACAACCGTGAGTGAAAACCTCTCCAATGAAATATAACGTTGGACGTTTACTGACTTGTGTCGGGTTAGCGGATAACCCTTTTGTCACTTCTTGATCTAAACAGCCAGCACGATGGAGACCAAAAACCCTAGAGGCTTCCAAATGCTAAGTTCAGAGAGCAGTGGGGATGTAAAGGTGGAGACAGACAGCTTTTTGAAACAGTCAATGATATACTGTAACGTTGACTTCCTTTTGGACCATTGTAGGAACTACAGTCTTTGGTGGGGAAGTATCCTCCTTCTCTTTCCTGATACAGCCGCTCAGAGTTTGTTTTTTGTTAATACTTTGCACATTTTTTTCATTAGATGGGCAGAAAAAAAGATTTGCATCTTGTGTCTGTTGTCAACACTCTTCAAGGACCAAGAAAAAGATAACCGTAAGTGATCTTTCAGGAAGATGCCAAACATCACGGTCAAACAGATAAGATGGCTGTTGAGGAACAAATGCAAACCATGTTTATTGTTTTGACGTTTGGCGCATTGTCCACACACAACAGCTCCGCCCTACTGCAGGTACACAACAATGATTTCAATCACAATGACAAAAAATGTGCGCATGAAACCACGGCAGGTGTAAACACCTGAGGATGCCCGACACACCTGAACACACACACACACAGTTATACAATCTCTGTAACTTTCCACAACTTTTTATAACTCTCAGTCTCGTAACAGTCAGAATCCCAGAGAAACGAATCCAGATGGAGTCGCCTGATGCTGGAAGGGTAAATTTTCAGATGAAAACCAACGGGAAAGTCATTTTCTACACTCACTGAGATTTTTGATATTGGTTGCTAAGCGTTATGTTGGGGTCATCTGGGCAAACTTTGAAGATACCCGACTTCTTCCACATTTTTAGGTGCAGTCAGCAATTTTTCCTGGTTCACTGTTACTGTTACATTTTGACCATGTGACCATTAAAAATGTCTGTTAGACTTTGAATTAATGAAACTCCGAATGACTTTTTTTTTTTTTTTTTTTTTTTAAACACCAGTGTTTTTCGTTTGGCTCTTTGGGACATTCATGTATGCAGGAAAGAGTTGGGTAGTTGCAACTTTTTTGTGGTAATGCACCTGAGTACTAGTACAGATGTGGATTATCACAGCATAGTTGCATAACCAGTTGATAACATATACATAAATATATTGATGATAATTTTTTTTTTTTAAACATTGTATTTTTGCTAATTATTTGCTTTTAAACAACTAAATATGATTCTATAAAATTATTTTATATGAATATACAC